TTTTGTTTAAACAGAAAAAGGGGAAGTGATGTGGGAGTGTCATATATCAATCTTTTGATTTCATTGGTTAAGCAATAAAGAAACTGCTTGGCTGGCCCTGATAGGTTAAAACATAGGTGGGAGGAGTCAACAGAATAGGATGCTGGGAGGAAGAGGAAGTGAGCTCAGACCCGACAGCTCTGCTCTCTGGAGCAGAGACGCCATGCTCAGCTCTCCCGGGTAGACGCGATAGCTCTGTGCTCTGAGGCAGACACATGAAGCTCAGACCCAGGATGGACGTAGGCTAGAATCTTCCCAGTAAGCGCACCTTGGGGTGCTTACACACATTATTAGAAATGGGCTAGTCCAGGTGTGAGAATTAGCCTAGAAGAGGCTAGATAGAAATGGGCCAAACAGTCTTTAAATGAACACAGTTTGTGTGTTGTTATTTCAGGTATAAGCTAGTAGGCGGCTGGGGTGCTGGGGACGCAGCCCCACCGCTCCTATTTCAACACTCCTGCCTCCACCTCCCAAGTGCTGGGATTCAAAAAGAATGCACCACCACTGACAGGCCAATTCTTTCTCTTTTTGTAGTTGTGTCTAGATGTATGCACATTTGTGAAGGCCAGGGATCAACCTTGGATGTCATTCCTCAGGAGCCATACACATTGCTTTTTGAGATGGGTGTCTCTCACTGATTCTGGAGCTCATCAATGAAGGTAGGTGGCTGGCCAGTGGCCCCCTGAGGGACATCTGCCTGCTAGTTTCTGCATTTCCAGCACTAGGATTACAAGTATGTGTTACCACATTCATTTTTAAGATTTATTTTTATTATTTTGAAAATTGTGTTTTTGTGCATAGGCATGTATGTACACATGTGTGCATGCATATGGAAATCTGTGCATTTGAGTGTGTGCATCCATGGAGATCAGAATAGAGTAACAGATTTCTGGGAGCTGAAGTCACAGATATTAGTCACCTGACACGGGTGCTGGAAACTGAACTTGAGTCCTCTGCTGAACTTAGGTCTTTACGTTTTCACATCATGCACTTTATTGACTAAGCCATCGCCCTAGTCCTCCCTTAATTGTTTTTATACTAGTTGTTCTCTCTTGTTCTAAGGGAAGGTAAGCTCTTGCTATGCTGTACTCAGGTGTCTGTAATAGTATCTGTCATACAGTAGGTGTTGTTATATTTGTTGACTGATTGTTCTTATGCCTTTCCTCTAAATTTGCCTGTGCTTTCTTTTTTCCAGCACAACCTCCTTTGGCTCTCTTAAAATCAATTGATTGATTTTTTTCTTTTGGATTTCCTATATTTTAGAAAACATTCCTATGTACACCATCAACTTTTTTACCATACACTTCACTTCTACTTTCAGAGATTTCATTAAATGATTCCTCCTGCAGCTCATAGGGTTGTTGGACAATGACGAATTTTTATAAAATCATTTTGACACCTAGAATATCAAAGGTCACAATAGCATAGAAAAAAACAATAGATACAAACCTATTTTGTAGAACATGGGAAGATGTACTCATTCCATAGTCCCAGAGCCGCTCCACAGCTGCAATAAAATAGTGCCGCGTCTTCTGTTGAAAGCTGCGGGGATCCTGCTTTATATCTTCACCATAAATGTCAAAATCCTCATTTGTTTCAACAGTGATAGAATCATAATCAGTTGCTTCTTGTTCTGACTGAAAAGCACTAAGTTCCCTTTGATGGCGTTTCAAGACTGGTGGGTTCTGAGAGCACAATCTTTGAGTCTGACCTTGCTTTACCCAAGAGGCTTCTCTTTGGGAACAATTTTGTTTCTCATTTGCTACTACTGAATGATTGTTTTCATGAGGGTTCAGAGACAAAATGGTATCCTCTCTCTTAATGGGTATAATTTTTGGTGACTTCTCTTTGGATTTCCACTTATCTTTTGGTATCTGTGAAGTATGATGGTCCAGCAGTTTAGAGGGAGTCTTTTCAGAGTTCTCTCTTGTTCCTTTCAGACTTTCCACATGTCTCTTTGCTTCCTGTGTTTTCTGAAGAAAGACCTCTTTCATGAGATCCAGGTGTCCAGGAAATTCATGGCTAGTTTTTTTAGGCAAAAGTTCTTTTTCATGAATGGAAATTTGAGGAAGCAATTCAACTTTGTCAGATTCTTCAGGCAAGACTGGTTTCAAGAGAAGAATGTCCCCAAGTTTCTTATATGTGACTGAGTTTGTATTACTCATCCTTGGGGAGGCAAATTTTCCTTGGTTTATGATCCTCTCCCATGGTAAGATGGTTAAAGAAGAGTTATTTCTCTTGGTTTCTTTTAAGAAATTACTACTTTTTTGAACTCTAGAATTTTTTGTCTTAATGTCATAAGTGTAGGATGATGCTAGAACATGAAAAAATTTGTCTTGAAATGGGATTCTCTTGAGATCTGTTGGTAGAAATGCTGAAGTTTTTACAATGTGTGATCCAGAACTATTTTTCTGAGTGATGCTTTTAATCATTGTAGAATTCAATAAGGGAGACTTAATAATGGACTTTCCCCCTTCCTTGCTGTGATCTATCTCTGTAATAATACTCTTTGTCAAATAGTTCATGGTTTGAGGCCATTGAGTTGAGGCGCTGAGTCTGAATTGTCCCAAAGCTCGTTTACTACGTTGAGTAATAATATTCTTCTGGCTTGGATAGTTCTTTACTGCTTCTCTGGTTTTATTTACCAAGCCTTCTGAATTTGTTTCCTCATCCTCCCTTCTTTTAAAGAAATGGGCCATCTGAATCTCTACTGTATTTGTTGAGTCGTTTAATGAGCTGATATCTTGAAGTATTAGTGCAGGTAACTCTTCATCTAAACTTATATTTTGCCTACTGCCTAGAAAGAAAATGTCTTTCAGGAAGTTCTTAGAACCAGTTGCTATGTGTACCTGAGGCAAAATTACTTTTTCTTCAATTGATGCTTCCTTTTCTATCTCTTCCTGAATATCTTTTTCTTGATTGTACCTATCATTTTCTTGTATATTAGGCAAGGTGGTAAGAAATATACTAATGTTGCTTGAAAAACCCCTATGCTTGAGTCCTGTGTCCTTTGTGAATCCATCTTGTTCTAGTATCACTTTCTTCTTCTCTGACAAGAAATTCTCATTTTTCACAGACTTTTCTAACATTAAATATACTAATTGCTTTAGACTAGGCCCTTGCTCAGAGTTCAAGGAGTTATTTACATTGGTCTGATTCATCCAATTTGCTGATTCTGGCAACAGCATCTTGAAAAATGGCGTGATTGTACTTTCTTTATCCTGTGTAATAGGATCTTTATCTTTTTGGTGAAATATTTCTTTATTTTTTGATGAGGCAGTTCTATTTAGCATATGCTTCAGTCTCAAATTTATAGTATTTTTGCCTGAAAGTACTCCATCATGAATCAAAGGTGCTAATCCTTGAATTTCACTATTGATTTTTAATACAGTATCTTGCAAGACTGCAGTACTATTCTCAATTGATGCTAGGCTGTCAATGTGAACTTTTCCATTAGTGGTTGAACGATTATATGTCTCATTTGTTTTCATCAAAGAGATATTATCTTTGAATAAAGTACTATCTTTGGCTAACAAAGCAATCCCATAAAATCTCTTCTTTTTGAGTAATCTATCATTCTCTATTGATGATATATTATCTCCTAGTGAACTTTCTTGATTATTTATTAAAGTTGCATCTAACAAGTTGGAATCACTATTTCCTTCACTAATGCTCAGAGGTGCATGAGACCTAATAAAGGGACATGCCTTTTTACCAAATGAAATGGTGCTTAATTTACTAATAAAGTGAACTGGCTTACTTGGAGATTCTGAATAATCTACCTCTTCAGAAATTGCTGTCCAGTTATCTGACAGAATTGTTGTGGTCATTAGATTATTTTGCAAACTAGAAACTTGCAAATCAAGTTTCTTCCACTTTATATCTATAGTTGTCTCCAAACTTTTATTTGAGCTTAACTGGCAGTCTGGCTCAGGAGTAAATACTATTTTCCCACTTTGATAGTGTTCTGGCCTAACTTGGGCCTCTTTAGATGAGTCTTCATTGCTGTCTATTGCATCAAGTGAATGATCATCAGGACTAGCTTCATAGATGGCTTTTTGGTTATCTAATAAGGATAAACCATGTGGAGTAGGATGGCTCTGTCCCAAAAGCATCAACAAGTCAGTAGAGGAGACACTTTTCACTTTAAACGTCTCTGCTGTCTCTCCAAACTGAGGCTTAATCTTCTCTACATAATTTTCTAGAATTTTGGTGGCTGTGAATTTTTTTCCCCTAGTGTTAGGATAATTTGAATTTTGGAAAAAGCTTCTGGGTTCAATGATGTTGTCATTCACCAACTGTGTTGGAATATCTTCATACATTTCTCCATAATAATCACTAATACTCTTGTCACAACTAGAAACTTTCAGCAAAGCTGTCATACCTCTCTTCCGAAAGTCAGAATTATGACATCCCAAGACCCATAAACCTGAAAATGAGAAAAAAATAAAACTCTGGTTATTCATAACCCAGGTTCTAGGTAATTTCTCTATTGGGGTGTTCTCTCTTATTTCTAGGCAAATGAAGAAATGCTATTCAAGACAATTACATTATAGGTTATTTGGTCAAATCCTCTCCATATATAATAATCCAACAAAGGCTACGGTAAAATTCATTATTGCATTGTTGCTACTGTGCTATGGATGATTCTGATCGATCACAAGAAAGGTATATCGAGGGCTATTGAGAGAGTTCAGTGGGTAAAAATGTTTGCTGCCAAGCCTGATGACCTGAGTGCAATTCTTAGAATCCACATAGTAGAAGGAGAGAATTGAGTCCTGCAGTTGGCCTCTTACCTTTACACCTGTGATAGGACATATGTGCCTACACACATATGTACACATTAAAGTAACAAATATAATAAAAAGCATTTGCAATGTGCAATTATGTAACATTTAACTATTTCTAATGCAGATATTCTCAAGAAGTGATTATAGAATTTTTCCCAACAAAATAGTGGATTGCTGATCAGTTATAGAAACCAGGAACAAGGTTTTGATTCTGAGGTGGAGAAAAGTCCCAAGCTTATAATTCAGCCTCAGGTTTAGAATGATCCCAGAGTTGAGGGCATTCAGACTATAATACATTATGCTTTCATTCTCTATGGTGTGTGCTCACTTGTGCATGCATATGCCATAGTGCATGTTTGTAGGTCAGAGGTCAACTTTTGGTGTCAATACATGTATTGCCCCCCCCCACCTTGTTTAAGACAGGATCTGTCCGTTTTCTTTGCATATGTCAGGCTAGATGGCCTGTATGCTTCTGAGGATTCTCCTGTCTTAGATTCTTCCCTTGCTGTAGGAACACTGGGATTATGGATGTATGTTATCATGCCTTGCTTTTTCCATGGGTTCTGTCTGGTGATCTGGGTGATCTGTGTGACAAGTATTTTACTTACTGATTATTTTCCCCGATACAAAGTATCTATTATTTAAGATACTGGATTGAGATGTAAGAATTAGTTAAAATGTTCTTTTTCATTTATATTTAGTTATAGTTGTAATGCAAGAAGATTGCTGTATTACAAAAGTCAGGCAATGTAGTTTAACTAAAGACAAAAGTCTCTTCCTCTTCTTCCACTACTCTCTCATTTTGATACCAGGACTGTGTAAGCCCTGACTGACCTAAAACTCACTATTTGAATCAGGATGGCCTCAAACTCAGAAATCTGCCCCCACTCAGTTTCCATAATGCTTGATTAAAGGAAGGCATTAACACACCCCACCCTTAACCAAAGTATCTCTAGATTAGTATTCTAAATTCAAGTAAAAAAATTGCATGTCTGTAATCTCAGAGGGTTGGGATGCAGATCCCTATAGTTCATTGCCGATTCCACCTAGTCAATCAATGAACTCCAAGTTCAATGAGAGACTCTGTCTCAAAAAGCAAGGTAGAATTAAGAAGGAAAACCTTATCAGATCTAGAAGACTTATTATTTAAGTAAGTGTATTCATCTAAGAATGGTTTTATAACTATGGGCCCGAAAAGAACATTGTAAGCCAGATGCAAAATGAATATTATATGAAATTAAAATAAAGGTCTGTGAGGTCCCTTCCCAGCAAGGTGTCCTGATCCTGTACCAGAAGAGCCATCCGGAGAAGTGAGTGTGTGCCTGACTGGCCAGCCAGACGCTCGCCCAGGAAAGGGAGCACAGGCACCCTCCAATCCCCTAAACTTTTTGGCCATTCAGTGATGTGGGAGTGATTTCTTTCTAATCTGTTGCTTTCATTGGTTAATTAATAAAGAAACTGCCTTGGCCCATTTGATAGACCAACCCTTAGGTGGGTGGAGTAAACAGAATAGAATGCTGGGAGAAAGAAGTTGAGTCAGTGAGTCGCCATGATTATTCCACCCGACACAGTCGCAGGTTAAGATCTTCCCTGGTAAGCCACCTCGTGGGCTACACAGATTATTAGAAATGAGTTAGATCAATATGTAAGAGTTAGCCAATAAGAGGCTGGAACTAATGGGCCAAGCAGTGTTTAAAAGAATACAGTTTCTGTGTAATTATTTCGGGTATAAAGTTAGCCATGCAGGCGGCCGGGTGTCAGGAACGCAGCCCACCACTCCTATTACAACAATTCAGTAGGGCCTTCTCTCCCAAGCTACTGCCTTCTCTTCTTATCCCATCCCAGTTTCTCCCCAGGCACCCCCTTCCCATCTGCAGGGGTCATAGGATCCCCCAACTCAGCCTGCTTAAGGGCTGAGGGTCTGGGGACAAAGTGGTGAGTGCAACTGCTGCAGGAGTTTAACTTTGTTCCACTGAGCCTGCACCCAGCAAGCCCAACCTTTTGTCTGTGAGGTCTCTGGTCAGCAAGTGGCCCTGAGCCTGTACCAGAAGATCCATCTGGAGGGCCTACTTCGGGGTGGAGAGGATCTGAGAGACAACTCCAGTGCTTAGGGGACCTAAGAGAGGGCAGACAAAGAAAAACCCCCAAGTACACAGGTAGCCACAGCAAAGATCAGACCAAGCCACCAAGACTCTCCTAACAGCATTTGAAGGAAGAGATGGGCAGGCGCCAATGCAAAAATTCCTCCAACAATCTGAAAAACAACACGATAACACCAGAATCCAGCAAACATACAACAGGAAGAATTGAACACCCTAATCCTGAAGAAGTAGAAGAAATAGACTTTAGATATAACATTATGAAAATGTTAGAGACCATTAAACAAGATATGAAAAACTCCTTTAAAAAATAGATGAGAAAACTAACAAAAAGTTAGAAGAAATGAATAAATCCCTCAAAGATACCCAGGAAAAGCAAGAAAAAGCAATCAAACAAGTAAGGGAAACAGTTCAAGCCCTGAAAACTGAAATGGAGGCAATGAAGAAAACACAAACCGAGAGATGGCAGGATATGGAAAATCTGGGTAAACGAACAGAAACTACAGAGACAAGTATAGCAAACAGAATACAAGCGATAGAAGAAAGAATCTCAGATGCTGAAGATACTATAGAGGAAATAAACACACTGATCAAAGAAAACAGCAAATCCAACAAATTCTTGTCACAAAATATCCAGGAAATCTGGGACACCATGAAAAGACCAAACCTAAGAATAATACGGATAGAAGAAGAAGAATTACAGCTCAAAAACCCAGAAAATATATTCAACAAAATTATAGAAGAAAACTTTCCCAACCTAAAGAATATTCCTATGAAGTTACAAGAAGCATACAGAACACCAAATAGACTGGATCAAAAAAAAAAGCCTCCCCTCATCATATAATAATCAAAACATAAAACATACAGAATAAAGAACAAATATTAAGAGCTGCAAAAGAAAAATGTCAAGTAACATATAAAGGGGAACTTATCAGAATTACACCTGACTTCTCAATGGAAACCATGAAAGCCAGAAGGTCTTGGATAGATGTGCTGCAGAAACTGAGAGACCTTGGATGCAAGCCCAGACTACAATACCCAGCCAAGCTTTCTTTCACCATCAATGGAGAAAACAAGATATTCCAGGATAAAAACAAATTTAAACAATATGTAGCTACAAACCCAGCCTTACAGAAAGAACTAGAAGGAAAATCATAACGCAGGGAACCCAACAACACCCATAATAACACAGGCATCTGACAACTCTCCACCAGCACAACTGAAAGAAGGGAAACACATAAACTCTACCACCGTCCATTTATCAAGCAAATGGACCTAAGAAACATGCAGGTGTGGCCATGCTAATTTCTAACAAAGTTGACTTCAAACTTAGATCAATCAGAAGAGATGGAGAGAGACATTTTATACTCATAACAGGAAAAATTCATCAGGAAGAAGTCTCAATCCTGAATATCTATGCCCCTAATATAAAAGCACCCACGTACATAAAAGAAACATTACTAAAACTCAAGGCAGCCATCAAACCGCACACACTAATAGTAGGAGACTTCAACACTCCTCTCTCACCAATGGACAGGTCAAACAGACAGAAACATAACAAAGAAATAAGAGAAATAAAAGAAGTAATGAAACAAATGGACTTAACAGACATCTATAGAATATTCCACCCAAATAGGAAAGAATATACCTTCTTCTCTGCAGCTCATGGAACCTTCTCGAAAATTGACAACATACTAGGTAACAAAACAAACTTCCACAGTTACAAAAAAATATTAGTAACCACATGTGTCTTATCAGATCACCATGGATAAAAGTTAGAATTCAACAACAATGCTACCCCCAGAAAGCCTCCAAACTCATGGAAACCGAACAGTCAACTACTGAACCATACCTGGATTAAGGAAGAAATGAAGAAAGAAATTAAAGTCTTCCTTGAATTCAATGAAAATAAAGAAACAACATACTCAAACTTATGGGACACTATGAAAGCAGTCCTAAGAGGAAAGTTCATAGCACTAAGTGCCCACTTAAAGAAAACAGAGAAAGCACATATTGGAGACTTAAAAGCCCATCTGAAAGCTCTAGAAAAAAGAAGCAGACTCACCTAGATGGAGTAGAAGACTGGAAATAATCAAACTGAGGGCTGAAATCAATAAAATAGAAACACGGAAAACAATCAATGAAACACAAAGCTGGTTTCTAGAGAAAAATCAACAAGATTGATAAACCCCTATCCAAACTAATCAAATGGCAGAGAGCGAATACACAAATTAACAAGATCAGAAATGAAAAGGGGGGCATAACCACAGACACAGAGGGAATTCAGAGAATCATTAGATCTTACTACAAAAGCCTCTATGCCAGAAAACTGGAAAATGTAAAAGAAATGGACACTTTTTAAGATAAATACCATATACCAAAGTTAAACCAGCACCAGGTGAACAATCTAAATAGACCTGTTAGTCGTGAAGAATTAGAAGCTGTTATCAAAAACCTCCCTACCAAAAGAAGCCCAGGACCAGATGGTTTCAATGCGGAAATCTACCAGAACTTCCAAGAAGACCTAATACCTATACTCC